AGTCTACAAGATAATTGGGTTATGTAGCTTAGGTTTGATTAGGTCAGGTTAAGTTAGGTCAGGTTAGGTTAGGTCAGGTTAGGTTAGGTTAGGTCAGGTTAGGTTAGATCAGGTTAGGTTAGGATAGGGTTGGTTAGGTTAGGTTAGGTTAAGTTAGGTCAGGTTAAGTTAGGTCAGGTTAGGTTAGGTTAGGTTAATTTAGGTCAGGTTTGGTTAGGTCAGGTTTGGGTAGGTAAAGTTAAGTTAGGTTAAGTTAGGTCAGGTTAGGTTAGGTCAGGTTAGGCTAGGTCAGGTTAAGTTAGGTCAGGTTAGGTTAGGTTAAGTTAGGTCAGGTTAGGTTAGGTTAGGTTAAGTTAGGTCAGGTTAGGCTAGGTCAGGTTAAGTTAGATCAGGTTAGGATAGGTCAGGTTAGGTAAAGTTAGGACAGGTTAGGTTAGGTCAGGTTAGGTAAAGTTAGGTTAGGTTAGGTAAAGTTAGGTAAAGTTTGGTTAGGTTAGATTAGACTAAATATAACTTTGTAGACCGAAACTCTGCATAATATTGAATAAATACCTAATACACTTCTAAACAAACACCAAAATCCAGATTTAGTGAAGCAGCAGGGACAACTACCGAAGGAAAGGTGTCAAAGGCCAGAGGTAGGGGTTGGGCGACAGCAGGGTAGTTGCTGCTCCCTTCGTGCACCCTGTTGGCGTATTTTACCTCGAGAATCGGTTTTGGGAAGTCTTAGGAGATGATGGCCAACTCTTGGCAATGTCTGTAGGACAGCAAAGGAGTCGGGACACCATTATGTACATCAATCCAGGCTTGACACGACCTGTTGCCAAAGGTGACATGTGCATAGAGTGAACCTAGGGCTGGGGCCATCTGTGAACCGTCTGCCGTGACGTAGAGGTCCTTGGGAGGCGGTCCTAGATCACTTGGAGAGAACCCCAAGCATTGCAAATGCTGGGGACCGATGACCGTAGCATCAGCGCCGGTGTCGGGCAGAATCTCGAGACAGGATGACACACTGCCGTGGGTCACGATGACGCTGATGTGCTGGGAAACTTTGGTCCTGGGATGCGAGGGGGAGTACACCCTCCAAATATGGCTTGGGCGTTGTCCAGGGTAGTCATGCCTCTCATTTGACGACTGTGGGTGGCCCTCACTGGTGGAAAGGGACTGCTGCTTCCGCGGACGCTGTCCCTTGGGTTTGTTGGTTGGGCAACACTTGTCGCAGTGGCCCAGACCACCACACACATTGCACTGGACGCGTTTGGCTGGGCACCGAACTGTAAGTGACCAGTGGCCCTTGCGGTCACAACTGTTGCAGGTAGACTCAGCAGCTGGACACATCTGTGTTCCGTGCTGCTTACCACAGCTGTTGGAAAGGGAGTCGGGCGTGGGCGTAGGCGTTGGGGTAGACTTCTTGGACTTGGACATTGCCCGTAAAGCTGTAGGGGGAGCTCGGGTGGCAGAGGTGGCAAACCTGGCAGCCTCCTAGGAGCGACATATTGTCAACACATCCTTAAGAGAAGAGGAAGAATCGAGGGAGGTGAGGCATTGGACAAGCTCCTCGTCCTTAACACCCATCAGGATCACCTGCTTCAACTGGGTCTCCTCGCATTGCTGGTGATTACCGTGACATATGTCTACCTCTTCCGAGGCTCTCTTGAGCCGTACATAGAAATCGTCAAAAGTCTCGCCCTCCATCTCTCTACAACTATACAATTCCCTCCTGCGTAGAGCTTCATTCCGTTGACTTTTGATGTGCCGTTCAAGAACATCCAGTACCTCCTCTACAGACAAGAAAGAAATCGGGGGCACCTGCAACGTATGTTCCAACACACGCTGCATTTCCAAAGATAGGTACATACGTAACTGAATGAGTTGTTTAGACTGTGGCAAGCTCTGTAGATTCACCATTGTAGCATAATCAATCCACCGTCGCCACCACTCACGAAAAGTCTGGAAATTCACATGAGGCTTCAAGATGGGTGGGGTTTGGGCAGCCGCTTTGGGGGGGCTGGGGGGCGTACAGAAGGCGTTGACGAGGTATTTGAACCAGTCGATACCGAGGCAGTGGGAGAGCCAGGGGCTTGGTTAGCAGTGAGGCTAGATATCAAAGCTGCAAACCGTTCACTATCTTCCAATCTCCTTTGGTGGGTTCTGTTTGCCTCCGCGTGTCTCCTTTCTTCGTCCTCAACACGTCTTCTCGCTTCGTCCTCACGCCTTTCCTCCTTCATAAACTTCGTCAGAGCAATTATCTCTGAAGACAAGGCTGAAGATCGAGGGGGAGGGCTGCGAGATGTGGTGGGAGAGGGTGGGGCGTCGCGCTCTGACTGGTCATCCATCTCTGTGGAGCTGTCATCTGTCTGAGTCATCCGGGCACTAGGAGCACCACTGTGTAAGGTCTGGGACATAATTACTTAATCTGTATATTGCATCTCAAATCAGTGTTGACCAGTCAGCCCGTCGTATCAACAAGATCTGAGACAAAAAAAAATTAATATACAGATCAGTAGATTATATATATATATATATATATATATATATATATATATATATATATATATATATATATATATATATATATATATATATATATATATATATATATATATATATATATATATATAAAATATATATAAAGAAATGACTGCAGTCAGTGTGTTTGTGCGTGTGTGTACCCATGGGTTGGTGTGTGTGTAGGCGGGCGGTAGGAGCGTGGAGGGAGGCAGGTGGGTAAGCGAGCGGGCTAACGGTCAGTTACACTCTAGATGCGGCCCGAGGTGGATGCGCTGACAGTGCTCCTCACAAATGCTCTGAACAAGCCTTCCACCTTGGGGAATCCCTATGAACAAAGGCACACAATTATGCACTACACACCTGAGGGCACTTATAGCACTTCACAGGAACTTGCTGTCACTGAAACACTGCCCAAAACTCGTTGGTAATTCAAACGAGTTTTTGTGGGAGACAATGCGATTAGGAGCGCTGGACTGCTAATCGAGCTGGGGCTCCACTGGTCTTGATTATACACAAACGCATTCTATATTTCCAATCAATCAACTTCACTTCGCGCTTATGTAGGGGCCTACTGCCTCCCATGTAGGGTTCTGGGTACTCTGGGGCTCTAACTACAGCAGAGAACACAAACGCCTGTAGAGCCTCTGTAGGTTCTATTTGATGGAAGTACAGGGGTGCAATCCCAGCGCCGTTGGGTCCCTGGCACTTCATAAGGTCAACTGACCTCTCTGACCCTTCAGGCGACATGTGCGGGTGGTACATTAGCAGCTTCCAGGATGTCGCCAGGCACATTATCTGCCAGCAGGGTATATATGAAAAGGGCATTGCCACACGCTACTGACTAGATAAGTAATGTATGAAATAGAGTACATACATAGTATACATAATAACATACATAATATACATACACTGTTATCACACACCCTAACACATTTCACTTTTATACATCAGGCAAAGTTTTAAGGTATTATAACTGCTATAAGTCTTGTTTTAGTGCTGAATACAGCCCGATGAAGTTCACTGACCTGAGTTGATGAGAGAGTAGGTGCCACTGAGGCATGAGGTCCCGCACCTCTCACCGACGTAGGCCTACAGTTTCCAATCTTTAATTTTTACTTTGATTTCTTATGGTTCTCACATGAACACTTTCCCGTTTATTGTGACCTGGTGTCTTATAAATACATATTTTAATCCAAGCTTACATACTAGAATACGGTTCGAGTTGGACAGTTCCTGGGAAATTAATTGAGCTATATCAACAACTCACACCTATAGGCCGCCACCCTGAAACAAAAGCTGAATGTTCATAGCATGGGTATATCCACTTCACTTAAACTGTAATTAGGGATCCTCCCCTCACACATTGCATTACTTGAACACAGACATAAGATTCTCTGATCACTGTACATGTCGTGGGTATACGTCACCCGAGGATACGAGGTGTATTAAGTTCACACCGATGCATACAAGATATTTCCTTTCAAGTATAGTTTCTGGGTCACTTCCAACACCTCACATAGTTCTGATACATTTATCCTTTTTCCAGATCATTGTTCTCATGTATTTTCATATGATATCTGCGGAAGGTATGTTTGCTAATTGTTAACAGACGTAAATAGTATGACCTTCAAACCACGATCTACACTTAGTCCTAAAGTACACGAGTCCGGATCAACTGGACTTTCCCAATCATCTTATAGATACCTTGAGTTCTCCTTAATGCTATGAATACATACAATTAATGTTACATAACCGTACCTGGGTACAATTCAACAAATGATTCATTAACATTGAGTAGGTGAGTTATTCCTTTATCAATGTTTCCCGTTTTCTGAGATTCTACAAGCGCGGTGGATTTGAATGTTATGTAGCGTAATATGAATTAGAGGGTTTTTTTAGGAATGACTATGATGTGCGCAGTACACCGCTGATATCCATCAACTAACATTTGGATTAATGTGTTACAAATACAACCCCAAACCTTTATACAATATACTTTTTACACTTTCACCGTCCACCAGCATTTTCTCTCATGTTTAAAACTTGTCAGCAGTGTACTGTATACTGTATATTCATATTCAAATTACTTATTAAAAAACAACATTATGTACAAGTAGAGAATATAGTGATTTACATAAGGTATGGTACTGTATAGGTACAGAATTCTAACAGTACATCAGCCTGGGATTTGCTTGTGCATTTAAACTTACAGTATATACATATTTACTGTACAGGTATCCCCTGTTTTACAATATTTCGCTTGAACGATGGTGATGTATTAAGACCACCCCCTTATTTATGATAAAAAATTGCATGAATGGTCATTGTCCGGCCAAAATCGCTGACGAGCGGAATATGGAATGCATCTCTTGCTGCACTTGTCAGCTGTGGTTTACCTGCATGGTGCCACCTGGTGCACTACAGTCCCAAGCTTTGTTCCATGGTAAGTGCACATGCCCGTGATTGTGTTGCTTAATGATTATTGATTAGTATCGATGTTGGTACTTACCATGGTTTTTTTTTTTTCTTCCCCTCAGTGAGGGTATATTACTAACATTTCACATTGTACTATGTTTTGGTGACTGTTAAGTGATTTTGTCTATATACCGAGAACGTTAATACCACTACTATCACTGAGGTTTATATATAAGGATTATGTTGGGGCTGTTTTACTGTTCATCACTCTTCTCTTTTCAAAAACAACTTTGAGTCTTCTATTCTACTTTGATGAATCTTCTTTTAATGTCTCCGATATTTCAAAAGTACGCACTTGAAAAATATTGATACTGTATCAGGTTTCTCCTACCAAACTGTTTTTATACTGCCTCAATACAGTATTTCCTTCCCTGGGATGTCACTTTTTTTTATATCAAACTTTAGTTTTTGTACAACCAGCAATAGCCCAAACTACATACACAGTACAATACATAAATATTAAACCTTAACCAGCAGCAACTAAAGATCCCACCCCCTCCACCCCCAGCAAGCACAAAAATGGTATGCAAGGAAAATGAAATAGTCTACTGATGATGGCTGCTTTTTAGGATTAATGCTGAAATGCTCCACAGATCTTTTGTCGACTTGTATCCACTTTCTATTTCAATGACCAAAAACAACTGTATAAATAAGAGTTTAATTAAGCAAATCTACATAACAAACTCTCTTAGCTATCTGCTCAATATGTTTCCACTAAATTCACTCAATACCGTACTACAGAACTTAAATATCACTTTCACTCTCATGTATCTTACACTGTGGTTGTACAAATCTTCTAATATATATAATACTGTACTCATAAAACTCTTCCTCTATCCATCTATTACAATATAATTTTCTGTCACTCCCTTCTTTCAATAACACAACAGTTTCTTCTCCCTGTAGGATATACAGTATTAATTGTTTTGTACAGGTAAATCCATTGAACTTTTTACTTCTCCTGGGGTCAACATGCATTTGAACACACTGCTATGCTTCTAAAAAAACTACAGTCCTTCTTTTCATTATTCATTCCCCATTTGACTCCCTCCTCTTGACTAGCATTTGATATTGGAAATTCCAAAATTTTTGTATTGTATCTGTAAACTACTCACTACACATAATAGCTACGGTAAGTATTCTAACCTTGTATTACTTGAGTAAGGTATGCTGAACTTTTGATGGCTATAAGCAGCATCAACATCTTTACGACCACTTCCCCAGTAGCCACCCGTGTCTTTTTCATACACCTTCAGAAAAGAAAAAGGAACTATAATTAGAGATGTGCCGAAGTATTGGTATTGGTGGTATCAGCTAATTTTGGGGATATCAGTGAAAAATTGGCTGATACCAGTCAATACTTTTATCAAACATAGCTTCAAACAGGTTAGATGGATATATGATGAGGTTATGGAACAAGATCGCCTTGGTATGGCCAAATAGCACGTTCTCCATTTTGTAAAATTTATGTTGAAGTATGAAATAATTAAAATTGTGCAAAGATATGAAAAATCCAAAATAATTTGAATTAATTGCATTTATATAGCACTAAGATTCACTGAAATGTTATCTTCTACAACGAAATTTAATCCATTCACTATAAGATTCTTCACTAAATAATCTATGTTAAACTTCTGTTAATTAATTCCTTAATGCTCAACATGTTGCTCACATTTGGCTGCCCACCAGCTGTAGTATTAGTTTTAAGTGAGAATGAAATAATTGTCTATTGTTTGTTTTAGTAATTGGAGATAACAAAACAACCCACCAGCCTTCCTCATGCCCTATTTCTCTATTATGTAGAGTGTAGCAAAGTGTACTGAGACGTTCTCCTTGTCTGATGGTTTAATGAAGATTTACTCAACTCCATGAACTGGTCTATCAACAAATTTTCCATTTCTAATCATTCTTAAAAAATTTTATTGTTTCTTCCAATATTTTTCCTTGTAGTAATTTGTTGTCAATTGTTGGTTTTCCCATTGTTAATTAACCTCAAATATCCGAGATCATCTGCATGCAATCTAAGTATTTCGTTGAATAATTACAATTCTCTATATCCCAGGTACAGTACTTTCATTTTATCTCAAAATACTTCCTTCCAAACTTCATCAAAACAATGTGTCATTTTTGTCAACCTTAATATATGACTGGGCAAACATAATGGAACAGAACACATGCAGTAAGGTAACTTCAGTACCCAGAATAAATAAAACCATATTAGGGAGAGTCTTGATTGCTTAAGACTCTGACCATCTACTGCAGTAATCGGAAATTTTGTGAAAAGTAAAGGAAATGGGGTATTGATCCTGTAATTCTATTTTCCAGTTGAGTTCATAGTCAGTTGATTCTCTTTATTGTGCATGGCCAGGTGGGGAGTTTATTTATGAATCCTTTGATTCACATGTTGTCTTCTAGAGGCAACTGGTGTCATAGAACTCATGCTTATTAAGTTAGTCGACTGCCAACCCTCCTAGATGGGGCAACTGTTATCAGAATCTCTACTTACAGTATGTACAGTACACTTACTAATTAGGCTGAAACAATCAATAAATGGACATAAAATACTCCGGCCACATTTCCTCATATCACAACCTGTTTATTTCTATTATTTTGTTACATTGTTTCTGTCACCATACCCTACCTTTCTTGACACTTCTGTTGCTCTTGTTCTAACCCATAAAGAGGTAGAGGAGTTAAAACAATAGACAGACAGAAGCAGATTGATGGAGGATAAATCGTAGACATTATGTAGCAGGGGGGTTAGCATTTTGAGGGTTGTGTCCACCTGATATACCAAAACATAATATACAATTCCCTTTAAAAGCATTTACACAGGAAAATGACAGATTACTGTCAGTGTAATACCAATATAAAACTGTATACAGAACAAAAATGAGGATCAATTTATGTGCTATAATTATGACACCTCACAGGTAACTCAAAAGAACTGGGCTTAAAAGCAGTCAAAATACACCAACCCATCCACTACCACCACACACACACTTACAATATAAACATGTTTTATGAGGTATCTCAGATCAACACATACTGTAAGTGCCAATTTAAAATGTTACCTATATGTCTTTTGCACATGATACAGGTGTGTAGATATTAGGAGAGAGACACATATACTGTACTGTACTGTACATACTGTAAACATCACATTTCTACATGAAATGAAAAATAAATTAGTGTTTGATAAAAATGTCACCTGAGTTTGGTAGGAAAGGGTGTTTGCACTGTTCCATATTCATCATCCACCATTGTAATTTTGGTTCCCCAGTAAGGACCTAATTCCTTGCTGTATACCTGAAGTGGAAAAAATACACAAAACAATTATGAAATGAATCTTATACTGTATTCCCTTTTTAATCTCTGAAGCCAAGATCCTTCTTGCTCAATGCACGGTGGTCATAAACATGAGTACAGTAGAGTACAGTAAACATACACATAAGCATATTTTACCTTCATTCAATGTCATTTATTCATTCTTATTGCTGTGAAACATGTGTCCTGCTATGGTATCGTACAGGTAAACCTTGAGATACGATATCCTGATCAGTGAATTCCTCTTTAACGATGGTCATAAACTAAGACTATTTCGCTATATGTGATAAAAAAAATTTGCTTAATGATATCCATCGAATAGCCATCGATATCCATTTGGTTGGATTTTTTTTTTTATCTCTAGTACAAACTGAGGGTTGTATATACACTGGACCCTCACTGTATGTGCACATTCACTATATGCGAATTCACGTTTATGCGGCGAGCCTATTTCTACCCATAATTCATTTTATGCGGAAAAGATTCCTTATTATGCGTTCAGTGGAAGATATGTCACACTAGTTTTATATTATATTATCTTTATTTCTAAGCCACATTAGAGTATGTGTGTGTGTATGTGTTGTCTCAGAACGTAACCAGAGCATAAAGTGAGGGTCTGGTATACAGTACTCAAATTAATCGCTGCCGTGCAAGAATTCCAACAATGTAAATTATATTTTTCTATATTAAGTCAGTGACATTTTATAAGAAAACAATATCTAACCCTATGGACCTTACATCTCTACCTTCATTTGTAAGTGTTCCCATCCACCACCACACGGCCAACCCACACACTAAAGCCAAGTGTTTGGTTCTTTGTCGATCGTAAACCCGTACATTGCATGGCTCCATGATTATTGGCCAGCATTGTACAACTGTGTTTTCTTTTCTTATTTAGTGAGAGGACAGCACTAACATTTAGACTGAACTGTTTTATAGTGATTATGAATCGATATTATCTGTGATTTTGTGACTGTAAGGTACGTCAAGTCTGTTGTTTTGAAAATATGAGCAGTGTTGGCCGCTATCATTGTTTTTTGTTATCACCGTTCGCTGTGTTTTTGTGTCAAGTGCTTTTGCTCTGTTTTTGTGACTGAAGTGAGCAGTTTAACTTTGAAAATGTCTGGGCAGGCCAAGGCATCCAAGACAACCGTGTCTCTGAGGTGAAGCTTGACAATGTTAAACAGCACGAGACTCCTCAGAGGCTGTAGGGGAGTCAAGAGTGACATCTCTCCACTCCACCTACAAGAGTCTCCTTAGCTTCAAAGGGGACATGTGATGATGACCAGGCTTATTCTTCAGGATGTGGTGAGTGTTGTTTTATTGTATTGTACTGACACTGTAGGAGTATGGCAGGAATTATTTTGTCGGTGATACATGTGTGTTTGGGGACTGGCTGGGAATGTATCCCATTGAACCCCATGTTATAATGCTCCCTATCTATGATAATTCACCTAGCGATGGGTTTTCAGGAACCTAACCCCATCGTATCTCGAGGTTTACCTGTACAGAACAGGTATATATATACAGTATATATATATATATGTGTGTGTATGTGTTTGTGCGTACATGTGTGTTTGCGTGCATTTTGGGTGATGGTCAGGAACTATATACCTGTTATACCTGTACACTACAGTACGTATACTATACTATATTATATTCTCCTCTACAGTAAATGGCAGAGGCATAAAACAAGGACCTAGATGATGGCATTAACATCTTACATCCACATCTCTAATCTTCATGTAGTTAACTTGAACTGGAAAACAATTCAAGATATTCTATTAAACAGATCAAATAGTCATTAGAGACAGCTGGTGACGCACCTGTATTCCAAGTGTTCATCATATATTAACTTGTATCTTTCTGCTTGGTACCGTTCGAGGTAGACTTCCTCACTCCCTCGGTAAATATAACCATTCAGTTCCTTTTTATACATCTAAGATTAGAAGAAAGGTGGACATATGTAATGAGGTGAAAGAAACTTTATCAATCTAAGCTTAAAACTCAACCCATTCAACTAAAGTCAGTCCACATTCAGGAGGAAATATTTTTTATTATAGTTACCTTATTTAGGACAAAGTTATGGCTATAATGAAAAAACTTTGGCATAAACAAATACTGTACAGTGTATTAACTGTAAGAAGGGAAGTTTATTACAGTTACACAAAACTGATGTTAACACTTGAGAGTGGCTAGAATACAGTATCATGCCAAAGATATACTGGACTGTACTGACCTTTTTATATAATTTTTTAATAAATTCGCAGTCCCCAAGTTATGACCATCTGACTTACGATCATCTGCACTTGCTAACAGGATTCCCATATTTTACATTATTTTCATTATTCTATGTTGTTTAACATCAGTTTATTTACTATAATTACATTAGTTGTTATGTATGGGATATTATTGTTGTTTTGTATGGGGAGGGTTGTACTTTAACATAACCTAAACTATGGAATGAACACTTCTGACTTACAAACAAATTGACTTACGATCAGGGTTGAGGAATATATCCCTGTCATTGTCATTCACAAATCAAATGTCAAGAAAGAAAAAGTGATAAATACAGTTCGTACTGTATTATAAAACCATTGCCAATTAAGGTAGACAAGTACTGCACCACACCTCTGATTACAGTGTATTGAATATAACTGAGAGCTTATTATGATACATCCACAGAACATATCTGATTAAAATACACCCGTTTGAGTTATCATAAAATATTTGTGTGTGACCATTTTGGGATGGCTGGGGGCCAAAATGATCTTCAAAAGTGAGGTGCTCCCCCGTTTGGATTACTGTTATCCCATCTAGCGGAAGCCCAGCTCACTAGAGGTCACAGCCTTAAGTTAAAAAAGACACTAGTACAGAAATTTTTCAAAACAAACTGTTTTGGAGTTAGGGTTGTAAACTCTTGAAATAACCTGCCATAGATTGTTGTGACAGCACCAAGTGTGAACTCATTTAAGACCAGACTTGACCAACATTGGCATAGAATCAGGTACATTTTGGAGCAATTGCATGCCCAGCACTTGCCAACAGTGCATAACAGACATAACATATGACAGACCCAGGGATGAAGTAAAATACAGTAAGTCCTTGTTTAACGTTGCCCCTGTTAACGTTGTTTCTTTATAACGTCACTTTTCTTTAGATACCCATGATTCGAATAACGTCGCGCCGATTCAGTATAACATCGTCGCGGACAACTTTGTACGGCACATCACCCACTCTCATCTTGGCACGCTACACTCTCACCCGCAGAGTGTCACGGCGTCCCCAAGCGGCGCCAGTCTTTGTTAAGCTTCCACAGCATTCATGTGTGTTTAAGTGTTTTTGCTCTTAATATTGTACTCTGACCATTCAAAATAGCTTCCAAGCGCCCATCAAGTGCTACCAAAGCTAGCGTTGAGAAGAAGCAACGTAAGACCATTAGCCTTGCTATGAAAATGGAGGTTTTAAACCAGGAGGAGGAGCCACCCGCCGGGTCTCAGTGACTCGCCACCCTCCTCCTCCTCTCCCGCCCTCCTCCTCCGCTCCACTACCCACCACACACTCGCTCCACCACCTCCGTCCATCAGTGAGTACAATACAAAATGATTTAGTTTATTAATATATATAATATTTTCTATAAAAATGCCATTGAATTTCTGTATATGTAATGTATTTTGAGGAACAGAACCAGGACATTAAGTGAGGACTTACTGTGATACAGTACTGTACAGTATGTATTAAAACATAGAATGAAACATCATGCCACCAGACAAATTGGCTCCAGTACACACAGGAGCACTAACTGGTTTTTCCCCTACTGGTAGTACTGTACTGTACTCCTCTTTAGCCAGAATGTCTCACCAACACCACTCAACACTCTACCACACCTTCCATTATCCTTTTAGTGACTGCTATTTTTCTTATAAGTAAGGCTATTGAAAATATGAATCAGTAAGCTCATATAAAGTATGATAAGAAGAGCCTGATGCCAAACTCTGCCAAATCTGTCCTTTGTATTTCACCACACATCATTGTGTTTTCCTTCACCACACCCACACGAGGGAGGTCCCAGGAGAATCTTTTAAATTCACTTCACTCACTGACCACTTCTACAACATAAGCCAGACAACCTGTATCAAAACTATTAACATTTACTAAACAAGCTAACACGGTCCTCGAGTTAAAGTGTTAGGGAAGAAGTCAGTAGTTGCTTGAAATATTTCTAAGCAAATAAAATGACAGTGGCTCAACAAATAAACACAAGTAGTAACCTAAAGAAGAAAGTGTTTAAGTCAGAGAAAACCCAGGAAAAAGAATACAGTACTGTAAAAATACAGAATGTCCAAAATAGAGTACATTACTTGACAGTATTATATAAACCTTAATTCCTAAACACTGGCAACATAAGCACAGTACAAATATTTCAAATATCCTATACAGTACTGGTCTACATTTTTTCTGAAATCTGGTCATTACTTGACTTCAGAACACCTGGTCATCATTCCGAGTGTTATTATTCTGTGGTTGTCTACACTGTCACTCATACAATGTTTACAGTACCTGAGGTTATGATGGCATGTCTTATGTTATTTCACTGACTAATTCTGAGTGTTTTACCCTCATAATGGCTTCTAATGGTGTATGTGTCACCTTCATCTTTGTCTGTTTATGTTAAAAGCAGAGATTTTTTGATAAGTATAAACTGTCTGTAAAGATTTAAGTTTTTAACACTAATTTCTTTATATGCTGTTATTATATTTACACAGGTCATGTAAAATAACTCGTAAAAGTTTTATTAGATAGATAAAACATCATTGGTAAAGTGACACAACACTAAGCTACCATCCTTCTCTCCCATGCACTTTTAAGTTTCTGAAAACCAGCAACTGCTTGGTCCTAACCATACCTGATTGTTTTGTTTCAATGTACTGTACTGTACTGTATAAGGAAGATAAACAAAAAAACAAGAGATACTCACATAGTTAATAATGTCATAGAGTTTTTCTGTAAGGTCTCCATAGATGGGCTGTGGGAATGCGTAGCCATACAGTGCCAAGACACCTCCTGTAATGTGTAAACCAATAATATGAACCATTTTTACACTAGTTTTTCAGAGATGTAAGCACAGTAATAAAAAATCTATTACCTCTTAAGTTTCCCCATTTGAATGGCAGCTGCTCTAACTATTTTTAATTTTCAGAACTCATCATTTCCACCACTTGTCAGCTTACTAGTCGTTCAAGCAGTTGGCCTGTTCTATGTTACAACCTTTATTGCCTAGTGTTGGTACAGAAGGAAATTGTAGTACAGTACCTGGAGAAAACCTGCAAAGTTTGGAAGGTCACACTGGATAACACCCTTCTCACAGTCTGACCCGGATTGGGGATTGAATGTAATAGGAAGGAAGCTTACAAAATTTCTATCATGAAGTGATGTGTTTCACTCCTACAACCCGTCCTGTCTCAAAACCTGGTAGCTGGGATCAACTGCTACACAGATTGTCTCTCATTTACTGTCTATATTAATTTTAGCTGACAATGGAAAGTACTGTATTCATCTAAATCATGTAATTAATTTATGTGTCTTTCTATTCATCATCATCAATATTTTACAGCCCTGTTTATATAACCCAATGATTAAACACCCAAACCCCAAATGGCAATTAGGTTAGGTTAGATATTGTTGACATTAAAGAGTTTAATCCTCAGGTAAAATATCTATTGGTTCCTAATCCTCATGAAATTCTTTAAATTCTCTGTTGAAGAATCTGTCATGAAACTACAATAATTGCCTTGTAACCATATTAGTTCTGTGAATGTTTGGTGCCTGGCAGAGTGTTAGGTCATAATATGTTTTGTAAATGTTTCAAGATATCCATCTGTTTTTAGTAGTGTTCATACCAGAGGGTATCATTAACACAAACAGTAATGCAATATACATAAAGGATGGTACTGTAACACTTCCCTTATAGTGAGCAAAAAAAAAATATATATACATACCTATACAAAAATTCTAACCTATCACTGTTTACTCCAGTCACTCAATGCTTCGAGGGTGATTAACTCTCTTCAGTCATTTTTCTTTTCCAACACAATTTCATTACCATTATTAATTTTCTATACCGTTATTAATTTTCTTACCTGGTACAAGAATACGATCAACTTCCTCATAGAACTTTGGCAGATCAAACCAGTGACAAGCTTGACCAGCAGTGACCAGCTGCAGGCTACACTCTGAGAAAGGCAGCTTTTCAGCACCACTCACTCTGAACAAACATAAATTCTAGATAAAACATTAGTTCAAGTTCATCATATCTGAAGAGTTAAACGTAAGTTCACAACCTAGGACTCATGGCTGCAATTCATGAGTTGCCAAGAAGACAATGGCCATATGAACTATAGTTCAAATAAATCAAACTGTAAGAGTGTGTTGAACTTGAACACTTGTGTAATACTATGGGCAAAGAAAAAAATAGAAATAAATGTAAATGAAATACAAATGTAAATAAAAATAATAGATACTGTACTCACTTGAAGAAAACATTTGTTCCTGTGCCTAGTTTAGTGGCTTCAGTAATCTGGGCCTGAGAAATATCAAGACCCGTGACAGAGGTAAAATGTGGGCTGAGGATGTGTGTACTTTGACCAGAACCACATCCGACATCAATAGCAGCTGTGAAGGGTCCTTGATACTAAAAAAAAAAAGGAAACAAAATATTAGAAAAACACATTCTGCTGAAAGGTGAGTTCAGATTGAATGAAATGAGTCACACCATTTGAAAATTTTAGAGCCAGGAGGAAGAATATTGCAGTGGAATGCAACAAGTGAGCAGGATTTGCTTTTGACACAGAGTACTGAGGTGTAGCAGGACGGCTTACACAAGTGAAAAAAGAAGAAAAATCAAACATGAAATAAAAGAACTCTCTAAGATGAAATAATACATCGTTCTCTATGCCCTTTGTCTTCCAAACTAACCATCAACAGTACTGTACAGTACTTCTATACATCTCTGCCTTTCTTCTCTTACAACCATACCAACTTAGTACCTCTCACTTACCCACTCAATAATTCATATCTTTATCCCCTGCAGCCATTCTGATCATGTTATACACTGCAGTATGCATACCGTATTAAAAAATGGACAACCTTGCTTATTTCAACTAATGCTAACCTAACCTACCCTATGCAGGTAGTGGTAGGTTGGTTAATCTCCAGGTGAAATAAGCTAAGCTACCTATTATATACACTTTATCCAAAAATCTGGTATTTCTCATCAATAATGATATCATACACTGCACTGGGTTTTGAAAAGCTCAAATTATCATTTCTTAACTCTTATTATGAATATGCACTCACCTTCTCTTTAAGGAATGTCAGGACTCTATCAATAAGAGACGCAGGAGGCTGAGGCCTAAATTTGGCATACGAGGCCGCATGTACTGCTCCCTCAAAGAAGCGGTTAGCCATGTTCTCTGCTTGTGCTTATACCTGTAATTCTTAGAAGTTAACCCTAAATATATATACCGGTATATTTTTTTGCTAAAAGTCACTGTAAAGTGGGGTTTCTCACACCTGAGGTAAAAAATACACCCAAAATGGAAGACAGTAATGGGTTTCAATGAAAATTTAAAACATTCATGTTCCTTTCAGCCTTACTGTTTGTTACTGATTATATGTCAGTTCTTGAGGAAATTAACTAAATTATTTTATTGTAAAAAAAATATATATAAAACCCACATATTTTTACACACTTGTACATAAAATATCGTTAAAGAAAGATCAGATCGAAGGGCAGCTACTAGGACAACATGGTAAGTTTAGTTAGGCAAAGTATGGAAAGGCTGCTGGGAAGCACTTGTTAACGTTGAAGTGTCACATGTTGCACTCTTGGGTGGACGGAGCATGTTATAACACGAACTAGGGTAAAGCAAAATTACGAAAACTGCAAATCTACCACCTGTTTTGGGGTATACCTGAAGTAAATAAGAAGTTATCTTCTACAGAAATGTTTTTGAAAAGTTGTTGGTTAACCCAGACCTATTCCAGGGTATTACCAAACTAAGCAATATATATACCTGTACAACCAGGCAAATTTAACCAAACTTATTCCGATTATTTTCCTTTTTGCTCAGGTTTTGGTCCACTATACTGTATAAAATATTTAGATGTTTTTAATTAATTTTCAACATTTTCTTTAGGGTAAGTTTGTTGTCAAATTACGAAAAAGCTGTGGGAGGTCTTATGTAAATTTCACCTATACAGTGTAATTGGATGATCCATTTCACATGCTGTCAGAACTAATTTGGTCCCCAGTCAAAGACCATAATGGAAATAAGCTTCTAAAAGCCACCCTAGGACACATATTGTTTTCCACTGTTTGTACGACTTCACTGTTTATGTCCATGCTGAAGCACTGTGAACTTGTAAGATGATTTTAATTAATAGTACTGTACTATTAATTAGTACATATTCATCAAAGGATCACCTGAGCTGTTACCAAGACTTAAGTGCAGGTTAGGTTAGGTTTTGATTTGTTTGATTAGGTTAACATTAGGGTGGTAAATCAGGTGAAATATGCTGGGGGTGCCAATCTTCAGGTGACCCTCTACGAGATCACACCTGCAACACGACTCACCTGAGCTGCTGCTAGGACGAGAGTACAGGATGATAACACCTTTACCTCATTATATCACCACCGCCATGACTCTATGATGCCGGTTCTAATATTACTTAATGTAGAGTTAAAAACACCATAGGTTGATACATTTTAAGGGCAAGTTCCAAGTAAAAAGTGATGAGCTGCAATAAGTTTGTTTACTTCACAAGAAAGTCTTTGTTTACCGGATGTGGCAACACCTTTAAGTTGCCAGCTGCTGTATTGTGTCCCGGCGAAAAACAATACTGTAATAGATAGCTAGATAGATATAAAACATTGATTGATATACAGTTTATGTTTATATAGATTGATGGGTAGATAAAGAGATTGGTTGATGTAAAATTGTATAGATCCACAGTCAAACCGCCCTACAAAGTTTACAAATTAATAATAATGATAATATAAATAATTTCACTTATTAAGAAGAACTCAGGTGAAAAAAATAAAACGTCCACAGGCTTCGACTCCGATGGAGATAACATACATCTATCCAGCTACTTGGCTGAAAATTTCTTAAAACTTTTTAAATAACTTTTCCACAATTTATTATAGGATACAAGTAGTTGTATAGGCACGATCTCGCCCTCATTATCCGTTTTTTTTTTATTCACGATTTTTTTTGGTCTTAGTACAGAGAGAGTGTAAATCCCGTGCGAGCAAGGAAAAGAAGATTATGAATGAGATAATGATGGTATACATTTAGGCCATGACCTCCTCACCTACAGGGGACGATCTGAATAAACTTGGCTCGATAAGTAAATATAGGCCTGCTTAATTATGGATTACCCAATTAGATTAAATCGACTGATCAAATCTCAATAATTAATCTTTCGTAAATAGTTCTAAGTAGAGTATTTCTTTTGTTCTAAGGGTAAACTGCAGTCCATCTTCCGTTCATCGGTAGTCTACGTGGAACACAGTGGAAATAAGGTTTACTGATACTTTGTGTTATCCTCTGTAAATTTGTGTATGGGTAAAAAAATCTGTTTTATCCCAATTTCCATAATTGGTATGAGATATTATTTGTATAGTTTATTTTGGTGTTTTTTTAATGACCTAACAAAAAAAGAATCCCAGTGATAATGGTAAAAAAAAATCCGTAATACCTAGTGGGATAAAAACGAAATTAACCTTTGTGTATGTGTGGATGTAATGTATGAAATTTGATCCAACTAATTTATATCAAATCAACTAACAGGACAGTGTGTGGCGGCGTCTCCCAGCCTTCATAGTGACAATTGGTGATCAGGAGGGAATGTAGAGCACAATGGGTCGTGTGTGAAGTAACCCCCACGTACTTGGAAGTCACTTTTATAAGGTGAGTCACTGCCCTCGGGAATTCTCATTATACAGGGTGTCCATAAATTATCTGACGAATTGTAAAACCTAAATAACCTTAAATATATTACAGAATGAGGAGGTCTACTAATACAACAACAAAATTTTTTCGTTCATCCAGCCCAATAAAAACAGTTTGTTCTAACCTTTAATGCTTTTGAGGTTATTGAAATTTAACATGGCTCAAATGATTTATGGTCACCTTTTCATGTCATAATGTAAGTAGAGAAAGAAAAAAAACTTATGGTTTTGCGTTTATCTGACGCTAACACTAAACTTAATCTAATCTAACCTAACTAGTCCACCCAGGTAGCAGTAGGGTGTTAATTAATCATCAGGTGAAATAAGCTTGGGGATAATCTCAGGTAATACGAATGAAGGTGAATTAGTGAGTCTAGTGAGATGCCGAACACAGGTAGTCCAGTGTGCCTCCTTCCACCACTAGCCACCACCACCTGCCTCCACTACTAGCCACCACCACTTCCCTCCATTACTAGCCACCACTACCTCCCTCCACTACTAGCCGTCACCCTAACCCTCCACTACTAGCCACCGCTACCTCCCTCCACTACTAGCTGTCACCCTAACCCTCCACTACTAGCCACCACAACCTCCCTCCACAACTAGACACCACAACCACAACCACCCTCCACTACTAGCTACCACACCTTCCCGCCACTACTAGCCACCACAACCACCCTCCACTACTAGCCACCACAACCTCCCTCCACAACTAGCCACCACAACCACCCTCCACTACTAGCTACCACAACCACCCTCCACTACTAGCCACCACCACCTGCCCCACTACTAGCCACCACCACTTCCCTCCATTACTAGCCACCACTACCTCCCTCCACTACTAGCCGTCACCCTAACCCTCCACTACTAGCCACCGCTACCTCCCTCCACTACTAGCTTTAACCCTCCACTACTAGCCACCACAACCTCCCTCCACAACTAGACACCACAACTTCCCTCCATACAGGCCATTACAACGTCCCTCCATACTAGCCACCACTACTTCCCTCCACTACTAGCCACCACAACCACCCTCCACTACTAGCTACCACAACCACCCTCCACTACTAGCTACCACACCTCGCCACTACTAGCCACCACAACCACCCTCCACTACTAGCCACCACACCTTCCTGTCACTATTTATTAAACTTGTGAATTATTGTAATTAAAAGTTTTCTAACATACTGAAAAGAATTAATAAAACCTTCCTTTGATGACCACAGCACAACGCATTTCACTTGTATACCTAACCTAACCTAACCTCTCACGTTCAGACTTGGCTCATTGTCACTGATGGTAACATTATATCATTATATAAGTATAATTCGCCCTCATTCTTCTCTTTCTTCTCCACTCCTTCCCGTCCTCCTCCTCGGCCCCCCCTCCTCCTCCTCCTCCTCCTCCTCCTCCTCCTCCTCCTCCTCTTCTTGCTACTTCTTCTCCATCTCCTCCTCAGTGTGAGAGTGTCAGTGAGGGTGTCAGTGTGAGGGAGGGAGGATGAGATAGGGTGTCAGTGTGAGGGAGGGAGGATGAGATAGGGTGTCAGTGTGAGGGAGGGGGGATGAGGCAGGGACGTTGGGTGTCAGTGTAGTGCGAAGGAGGGTGTCAGTGTGAGGGAGGGAGGATTCAGCGGTAATGCCACAATCGTGTCTTCTCCACCAGTGCGCCTCTCCACCACCGCCTTAATCACATCACCTCATATTGGCTCCCTCCTCCGTGACCATTCCTCCCTCCCTCCGTGAACCATTCCTCCCTCCCACCGTGAACCATCCTCCCCTCCTCCGTGAACCATCCCTCCCCTCCTCCTCCCACCATCCTCCCTCCCTCCGTGAACCATCCCTCCTCCCACCTTGAACCATCCCTCCCTCCCTCGTGAACCATCCCTCCCTCCCACCGTGAACCATTCCTCCCTCCTCCGTGAACCATCCCCCCTCCCTCCGTGAACCATCCCTCCCTCCCACCTTGGGTCCTCCCCTTCCACCCCCCTCTTTGTAGAGAAAGAGGTGGAAGAAGAAAGTTATAGTTTGGATTTTGAAGAAATTTAGGAGGGAGGTAGGAGAGGGCGGGCTGACCTGCTACAGGTTAGCTAAGCTAATAGTGTGTTAGGGTTGTGTCATGGGTTAGTTATTCCCCCTCCTCTTCCCTCCCACCGTAGACCATCCCCCTCCTAAAAAACAGCTAGGTAAATAGTCATAGAGAGGGGGGGTATAGATAAAGACAGACATGGTTAAAAAGAAAGTTAGTGAGAGAGAATCGTTATCTATAGGATGGGGATGTCTTCATTTTACTACTAGAATGAATATTTGCTTACATGACGGCATCGTGTGAAGGTGACAGAGGGATCAGCCGTGTTTATAGTCAGTCACTCACATCATCTCTGCCGGCTTTATCCGGTTGGTCACTCCCTCGTCTTTAACAACATTCACTCATGCCAAAAAAAACTAAAAAAAAAAAAAATAAATAAATAAAATAAAAAAATAAGCTAAATAATATTAATCAATTTTTATATCCTTATAATTTATTAAACTGTAAATATAAACAGAACAACAAGTCTGTAACGTTCGTATGTCGTTATTTATATTTCTTAACGTCATACTGAATTGTGTTTATAAAAGGAAGAAATATACATATTTTTTGCCAATATTCAGAAGAGTAATCATTGACTTAATTACAATGATTTGAAGACAACAATATTATATGCAATTCTAATCGCGTGAGATTTTTTTTATAAGAGGAGAAAAAGAAAAATGAGGAGGAGGAGGACAAGGGGGGAGAAGGAGGGGGAGGAGAAGAAGGAGGGGAGGAGAAGAAGGAGGGGGGAGGGGAGAAGGAGGAGGACGGCGAGTTGGAGAAGCTAACAGTCAAACCCGCTTGTGGTGTGAGAGGTTCCAGTGATCCAAGGTCTTATATGGATTAATGTTATGAGATAAAAACTTTCTCAGTATCACCGTGCGATTATTTTGTTATTAAAATGTATTTCGTTTTTGTCATGACATGTGCAACTCAATCTTCTTCTTCACTATCATCACCATTACCATCATCACCATCACCACCATCACCACCCTTGTAGTATGAAGACTTCTACACATTAACTACCTGCAAACACCTCTCATCTCTCACCTTTTCAACTGGTGAAGGGTCGTCTTTTGGTCTACCGTGAGTAAACATTATAAAAGGCATAATAATCCTGTAGCTTCCCGCCCACCTGACATATCCTCTTCTCTCCCGCCCACCTGTCATATCCTCTTCTCTCCCGCCCACCTGTCGTATCCTCTTCTCTCCCGCCCACCTGTCGTATCCTCGTCTCTCCCGCCCACCTGTCGTATCCTCGTCTCCCGCCCACTTGTCAAATCCTCGTCTCTCCGCCCGCCCATCCTCGTCTCTCCCCCTTGTCAAATCCTCGTCTCTCCCGCCCACCTGTCGTATCCTTCTCTCCGCCCACCCATCGTATCCTCTCTCTCCCGCCCACCTGTCGTATCCTCGTCTCTCCCGCCCACCTGTCGTATCCTCGTCTCTCCCGCCCACCTGTCGTATCCTCTTCTCTCCCGCCCACCTGTCAAATCCTCGTCTCTCCCGCCCACCTGTCGTATCCTCGTCTCTCCCGCCCACCTGTCGTATCCTCTTCTCTCCCGCCCACCTGTCAAATCCTCGTCTCTCCCGTCCACCTGATATATTTTGTCAAAGAAAACTAATGTTAACAGTATCTTTCTTCATTTTCCTTTTCCTTTATAACTTGTGATCTCACCACCAACCTCCCAGATTTATCAGCCCATAAGTACCTCAACCATGCGTCACATCCCCCTACCACTCTTCTCA